GAAATTAGCTTGAATTCTTCATAACCTCTGAATAGTGGTTAACCCAACAGGTCACAGTGGTCTAGTAATCTCTAAATATCATCTTCCCAGGCAGCAAAGGATACTGGTGTTATCTACATTCTTGCACAAGGTGCAGCATTACAGCTATAACAGATGTCATTTCCATAGAACAACAAAGGAACAAAGGCAGCTAAGCTAGAATAAAGTTAACAACTTTCTTGACCATGTTTTATGTAAAAACTGCACAGACTTAGAATAAATGAAAAAATTTGAAAAATTCTACATTAAATAAGATAGAAAATTCATGTACACCTTGGTCTATTTTAAATATATTTATTCAACAAATGCAAAACAGCATGTAACAACATTAGTTTTTGTGTGAGGAAATGAATTACTTCAAATTATACCTGGGCAATTTGTACCATTATTAGACTTGAAGCCTATAGGAAAATAACATGAAAAATGAATATCACTAGCACTAGCCATACAATACACTTATATGTTACATAAGTAACCCAGACATTCTGCAAGCAGTCATTATGTTTAGCACAGCTGAGAAAGTAGAAGCAAAACTATTTAAAGTTTTCATATAATTAATTCCAAACACAAAAAACGAAAGTAAAAAGTCATCTTGAAGAAAGATCATACATGAAAAAAGAAATTTCTAAATTCATCTGCACACATTAACTCAAAGTTAAAAGCAAACACTGGCACTTACACTCACAACCACACATACAGACAGAAAACAAATGAACAAAGTCACTTGATGTATTAGGATGGGTATTGGCACCATTATAGTTAATAGAATCATAACTAAGCTTGTGTGCACTGTAACACATGTATCCAATAAGGATACATCCTGTTACTGGTATCACTTAGTTTTCCATTTCTACACATTATAAAATGCTTATCTTACCTCAATAGAAGTATTACAATGAGGACATTTTTTACTATTGATATCAATCCACTTCTCAGATAGTGTGTTATCCACAAGTGTCTGCAATGTCTTTCGTCCATAACGAACCTCCATGTCTTGTTTCTGCTTCCCAACAGCTTTTAAATATTTTTCAAAAATCTCTTTTTTTTCCTCTGAAACAAAAATACATACATGAACAATTATATTTCTATCATTCTGAGTTATTTTCATCTAATAAAATCCCAACAAGGTTAAGATTTTTATATAGCTGAAATTTTGACTGCTATAATTTAAGTGATTTCCTCCTTACAACTGAGACAAAAATACTTTATTAATACATATATTGATGAAGATATGAGCGAGTGAAAACATAAAAACAATAAAATTCAATGAATTTTCACTTTTAAAAATAACCTCAGAAAATACAGAACTTACTTCTGACAAAAAATGCAAGTACTTTTTGAAACAATTTTCAAGGACCCACAGCCAGATTTTGAAGGTCCAATACTAACTTCAGATGGATTGATAGCATTAAAGATAAATTACTGAATATAGTAAACTGACCAGATATTAAATACATAATACAAAATATATCACTCAATTAATACAAGTACATTCAACAATAAATGGACAGCATACAATCCACTTATTTTAAAGTCCATCAAAAGTCCACATAGGCTGGTTCAGTTACTTTAGAACCAAACTGACAAGATTAATTATTTCCTCTCTCATCTGTCATAACAATAAAATCAGTGATAAATTCACTTACATTATGATACCCTGTGGATTACCACAACTACATCCAGAGCTTTAAATAATTATCTTTTATGTTAAAAGTCCACACAAACCGGTTCAATTACTTTAGAACTCAATTGATGATAAAACACAAAAACACCAATAATTCCCAGATAATACACACATCTCATTCAACTCTAAAGCTTAATAGATAAAACTGAGTATAAATTCATCCTTGATATTTGTATTATCACAAATTCTTTAACAGTTGGTTGAAACTTGTACTGGATGGTTCACTAACTTAGCATGATCAGTGAACCATATTCCTGACCCTATCTCCAACATTGGGAATGAAATGTAGACATTCCAACCAAACATCTCTCAAAAACACTAAAATGGTGGCACTAACCATAGGCTTAGCCAAGAGATCAGTATTATACCAGCCACTTATGAACTTACCATGAAAGATAGTTTAGTAAGATACAAGGAATACACCTTACTAGAATTGACCAATAAAAGTGACTAAAAAAGAGGGTACATTAAAATTCCCTTTAGAAGATATTTCGATATGATGAATATGTGGGATTTGCACAGCCTTCTCTGAGAAAATCCTTCAAGAAACCCTTATAACCAAAAACACCACAAATATACAATGGCACCTGAAAAAATGACAGCACAATTTTATCTGTGTGTTTATAATTTTTTTTTGTTTGTTGTTAAGCAAAGCTACACATTATTCTACCTGTGCTGTGTTCACCATGGCTATTGAAACCTGGTTTTTAACATTAAAAACCTTCAGACTTATTGCTGAATTACTGGGGAGCATGTGTTTATAAAGACAAGCAAGCTTAGGAAGTAGCACTGATTCTTGGGATTAGTTTAAATTAACCTTTGTCAGAATGACAAAATGATTTCATACAAGTTTTATAAGCAACCTACAGCAAAGTTAAAAGACAGTTTGGATCAAAACAACTGTCACTGATTAATAAATACATCAAAACAATGATAAAACAAGAAAATTACTCATTAGGTAAAGTGCTCAAATGAAAACAAAATCTGTGCAATATTAACCATATACAAATCCAAACATCTACAAAAGGTTGAGTATGTTATATAAATCAGTAAGACATGTAACAACCACGGCCAATATAAAATTGCTGTGGAAAAGCATGTATCAGAACTACATTTTAATATTATTTTACGTTTCTTGAACAGGGTGATACCACCAAAAATCGTTTCAGAAAGGGTTTGTAATGGCCCTTTACAACACAAGATATTAACACAGATCATTAAGATGTGTTCAGATCAAGGATTTTAAGATTTCCATGAAGTGATATTCCTTGTAATTGATGGCATTATAAAATAATAGAATAAGGATCAACTTGAAGTACCAGAACCATGAAGACAGAGACATGCAATAAGTTGTACTTCAGGTATGGAAAGCAAAGTTGTGGTGTCCTGTAACAAGTGAGAATCCAAGAACACAAAGGTCAATGGATAAAGCCATCTGTATGTCTCAAACAATAGTGTGCAATACAAGTGAGAAAGATCTCTAGTTGAAGTGACAGAAGTTGCATATGCAGAAGTTTCTTCTACAACATTTGTGTGCAACTGTGATACCTCAAGTAATTAAAAGGGTATTCATGCTATTCCATATGAAGACATATTAGTCAATTGCAAAACACAGTATCTATGGATTTCAGTGTGATCAGACCATTGAAATAGGTGCTGGGAAACCCTCCTCCTCCTACACAAGATAGATTATTGAAAACAGCAGTGATAAGAGGTGTGCATTGGACATGAAAACCTTATGATGGAGCATCTTTCAATAGAAACTAAGCTGCAGGGCCATTTTGAATATGCATGTTCATTGGATAGAGCATAACCAAAGATGGTGAGGCTGCAAAAAAAATCTTGACATAAAATACACAACCCTTGTACCAGCACAAACAAATAACATGAATTACAATGTTTAAGGTTTGAAAGGATAATTTGGAAAAGTTTATGAGACCAAGTAACACTCTGGTCAGCGAAACTAGTGTCACAAAAAATGGAATCATGCAAAAACACTCAAAATCTGCAAGGTCCATTTACATAAAAAAAGTAATTAATATCCTTGGTTTTCTTTATAATCATGGCTAGAAGAAATTGACAAATCCTTGTCCTCTAAAACGAAGTAAACAACATTTACACAAGTGAGGAGTAGAGATCAACAAAGTTGAACTCCTGATTATTCCAAGACAACAGAGAAGTCAGGCATGAAGGTAGTAGTTTCATATGGTGTTTCTCACACCTCAAAATTCTGGTGGAGGCGAGTATCTGGGAGTAGGACTGACGTCCTAATTCAGACACTGGTGAGCATGTTTCGGTGTGACGGGGATTCAAACCCGCGACCCTCAGATTGCAAGTCAAGTGCGATAACCAGCTAGCCATGCCGGGCCTAGGCATGAAGGTTTAATCATCAAATGGTATAAGAGAAAAACTGATGTACTACATGGACAAAGATGCTTCTAAAATGTGCAGCAGCACTGGAAATTTTACTTGCTGAAGATACAGTACAGAAAAACAAGAATGTGCAGTTAAAAGGTGTACCAATAGAAAAACATATCTTATGTACTTAGACAGACTTTGCACAGTATCTTCAATATGTGAATCAAAAAAATATACTTACTAAAACAGCCTAGATCAATAATCTATTCTATTTTATAGATAATTTCATTAATCTCACTCAATACAATGTTAAAAATAATATTTTCTTAATTTTTAAACTATATAATTACTTCGATGAAAACTATTTTGTATTGCTGACACTGTTAAGAATAACCAAAATCGTAGGTGACGATATGTCTTGATTTGAACCTCTGCCCAATTTTAACACTTTATTTTTTTTGTTAGGTTATCCCATATTTGCCTAAGGCTTCAAGTTTTTAAAGAAAACTAGTAATCTACTTTTTTGGCTATTATAGTATAACTAGAGACAAAAAATAAAAAATGTAACTAACATTAATTGTAAATTGTTCTGAACAATATAAATGACAACTTACTGGCCTATTGCAATGACATTATCAGTCACATGATCAGCAAGGGATGTGAATTTGCTACTATTTACACTGAATATTAGACCATTAGGCCTACACTTAGTTGGTATGTCAAGATGCTTAAAGGTGTCATGGTTTGACTGGATGATACTTATGGTCTCCATGCCCAAATCTTATAAGTTTGATGAAATTCTTGAGGAATTATTTGGATTATATAATATAATATATATAATAAAATTATATAGCTGAAAGTGTCATTAACTGATGATTCAATGCATTCTAATCATCAAAAGCCTAAACTTTCTAGATAATTGATTTATTGACATTAAGAATGTCTACATAATTTTGTGACTTGAATTGAAAAGTAAATGATAATCCCATGAATCATGCAGACAGACATTGATTCTTCATATGTAGACCAGTTGCCTTTATTGATATTACCTTCTGGCTGTATACTATCCAATCAATTTCCCATGTTTTGATTTTAATAGCTACACCATTACAGTACTTTATTTTCTAGCAGTCTCATTCCTTCAGATTGTCAATGAAGACCTTCTACTGGTGCAGCTTTCACCTGACTAGTGCAGAGGAGGTTGATATTATGCAGTAGAGTTGTGCTGGATTTGCCAAAGAGGCTTTTCTTGTAAACTTGTCAACTTCCTCATTTAGAATTACCCAAGCTCGGCCTAACATATACATCTCTGTGATGGTTTTATCAGACAGTTGCTTTGTCTTATGCCATCTACCTTGAAACCAACCACCTTCAATTTTGCACAATACTGCCTGTGAGTTAGTCACTAATATTATTTTGGTGACTCAGTCTATTTGTGGTTCACTGGTTTCATTAATTCTGAGTAGAGCTTGTTTTATAGCTTCTACATCCTTCTTTGTGCTGCTTGTGGCAAAACTTGAATTTTCCACCAGCCCTATGTAGAATATTATTGCTCCATGGAATGAGGAATGCTCAATCAGCTCTCTTGCATAAGAACATGGTCTTTAAATAGGTGCTGGCAGGCCTTTTCTGCTTCGCCATCTACCCAACTGCCTCATTTCCTTTTCAGGCTGACTTCCACAGATTCCAGTGTACCAGATGTTTATTTCGCATGGGAATGCCCAAGATTCTTGGTGATCAATTATCTCAATGGTAGTTGTATAGCACCTTGTCCATCCATAACTCTCCTCAAGTATGTTTTAGGCAATCAACTTATTTAACCCTATGTACACAGAAATCAAAGTATGCATATCCATCTTGTACAGAGAGCCATTCAACACAGTATTGCATATATGATGTCAGAATTATAAATATTTCATGTTATCCCACACTGCTGAATTGTTACTAGTTCATGTCAGAGAAAATACCTGACACAATATACAAGATTACTGAAAAACTTTAAACATGA